AAGAAGAGCAGAGGGTTATCAATGGTGACTCGTGCTGGTGGAATTAGTTCGGGCAGTTATATATTTGCTTTGGTATTTCCACTCTCTCTCCTTGCTATCACCATCTTCACTTCTGCCCGTGTTGCTGATAACCTCGACCAGAAATTTCTAGAAGAGGTAAATTACATAATCCCATTTGCCCCAAACCAATTTTATCATTTGCTTTATTCCGGGCTAGACTAAACCTTCAAATTGTGTGGTTAAGAGATGTGTGTAAATATTTATTAAACCTAAATTCTATCTCATAATTTTAGGGCGAAGCGGGTGTTGCTTGATATCAGAAAAGGGTGGCTCCACCCGCTCTTTTTTGACCACTGGGCTGCACCCTTGGGTGACTCAAGTAATTTTTCGCATTAGGCTCATTCACTCTTGTTTCGTTGATTTTTGATTCGACACGATATGTAGTAAAACTTTATGAAATGTTATATAGTTTTTGGAAGTGAAGTAAAGGAAAATTGTGGAAGCATGAGTAATTACATCTGTTTCAACTTATATATTAACATTTCAATCCTGTTGTTTTAATTTTGTCACTAACATCAATATTTTATAGGTTTTGGATTAATTCTTGGGTGGAGGGAGGGGATTGATGAAATTTGAGGTCTAGGCGAAAATTTCTCATGCTAGATTTGTATTAGTTGCCATTCATCAAGTTAAAGTTTCATGGGAGAGGTTGGAGGTTTTATTCAGTTACTGCTATACTATAGTATGGTTGGAGGAAAAATATATTTTCTTTTGCTGGCGACTGGTGAGATAAGTTTGTGTCTGTAAGGTGGGAAGAGGGGTGGGGGTAATGGAGGGGAAGTGGATAGAAGTGAGAGCTAGAACAAGATAGGGAACTGAGAATATATCGCCAGAATAGATGCTAACAGTCTTGGCTATATCAACTCCACTAAAGCTAAGCAGGCTTATTATTGGCATAACAATGCAAATGCTACTGGAAAAGCTTAGATGGGTTTTGTTTTAGAGTTCACAAAATTCAGTTTTTGCAAAATGTAAAACAAACACCACCTTCTGACAGGTAGTTCTTGGTTGACACTTGACATATGCTGACATGGGCTGTCTTCTGTTTTGTGATTATTTGTTTGTCTAACTGTTGGTTTTTAGAGTGGACCATGCTACTTGATTTCTATGGACTTAACATTTTGGATTTTCCCCTGAATTGGAGTTCTAGCTTTTAGCATAGTTCTACGAGGCTTGAAGTACCAAGGCATCAGTAATTCCCTAGGCAAAGAAAACCGATAGGTATAAGATGTTCCTAGACGATTATATATGTCATTATATCAAGTGATCATGCTAAGAAAATGAATGTTGAGCGGAGTGAGCATAACTTGATGTTGTCCTTAACCTTTTTGTAGAATGTCTGCTAGGAGGAAACTGAAAACAATTTGGCTCTCTGCTAGGAGGAAACTGAAAACAATTTGGCTCTGCTAAGTCAATTTAGGTTGGACATATATATTTGCTGCATGAGAAAATTAGTATTACATATGTCAAAGCTTCGTGCGATTTGCACCTATAACATTTGAATTTTCAAATACTTCATGGAGTAGTCAGTATGAGTAAAACTAATAGGAATGATCATATTATCAGGGAATACTTAAATGCTAGGATCAACAACATAATGTACTTTCAAGGTGCTTCGTCATAAAATTGATCGATCCAGGTCCCATTCTGTTATGCTGCGCTCACTTCATATTTCTGACAGAGGAGTACTAAGGGGGCTAAAGTCTATGAATTGTTATGAGGAGTGTTCATGAGTTGACTAACTTGTTTCTCTTTGAAAGAATTAATGGTTTTATGCTTTTATATCCCTAGACATGACATCAATCACTGCATTGAAGGTCGCCAGTGCATAGTCTTGATTTAATGTAGATAAGAGTTACACACATATAATGTTTAGAACAATCATACACTTCTTAATCTCTTATGAAGTAAAAAGACTGCAAAGATTTATGTAATGTACATGACAATGTTGGACACCTAGAAATTGGTGGTTTCTTACAGTTAAAAGATGCTTATCTTTGGCATATATCACAATGTGATTTCAATGGGACATCAGAGTTAAACAATTTTATAAATCCAGTTGAGTATAAAACTGGAGATGGAAGAAAAAGAAGAAACATATCAATCATTAAGAAACTGAAATGGTGTCATGTCCTTTAATTGGAGTTGAATTCATGCAAGAAACCCACACACACAGAGACCTGCAGCATGCTCATGAACATGTATGCACCCTGCACCCATTATAAGCTACAAAAAGAAAATACTGAAAAAATGTTCCCTCGTGAACTTCGATCACATCATTTGCTGAAAACTTTGTTTTTTAGTTATCTTTGCCCTACCTTGGTCATCATTACTTTGCACCTGTAGTAACTGCATTGTATTACAATTCATCCCATTGCCACCCCCTCCCTTTTCTCTAGTGTTGCTTATCACACTTATGGATTCTTCTTCTGTCCTTTTAACTTTTATATGCCTAACAATTAAAGAGAATAAATGGGATTATTTTGAAGAAATTCATACTTCCTGACTTCCTGAGGAAATCGTTGCGTACACATTATAACATTTTGATTTGAGTCTAATTCTACTTCTCTTGTTGAATTGACAGCTTGCTGTAAATGAAACTATAGCAGAAGGTGAGGAAGATGATGGCAGTGCAGTCACTCCGTTAGAGGAAAAACCAGCAACTCCTCGTACACGCAATCGACCCAAACGGGAAGTCGAACCTTCATCTAAGTAGTGTTTACTTTGTTAAAGGTGAATTGATAATCTACAGAGTGGTTTCTTTAGCACTTTGTCCTTCACTATTTATCATTAATTAGCTAGAAAAAATGTCTTTATTCACCAATACTTTAAGTGACTAATTCGAAATATAACAGTATATGTGTATGAAGAGCTATTTATTTTACTAAAGATATAGCCAACTTCAACTATAGAATCCATTTTGAGGTTATCGATAAGAAACAATAACTTATAATCCACCAATAAAATTTTACTTCATCAGTTCCATATTACTAGTCTACTTTCCCTTTTACATATAAGTATTTTTACTAATTTATTGTTCAAACTCTTTTCAAGTAATGTGGATAAGTAATATAGAACAAACAGAATTTATAATAGTAAAGTTGTAACTATTTAATTAATAAAATACAGAAATCACATACTTTTGAGATAAAATTGTAAATTTATCCTTTAAAAATTTATAATTACAAAAATCCCTCAAATTGATACATTAATGGAGGCAGAGGCGAACCCAAAATTTGAAGGCTTTGGGTGCACCAATATAATTATATCTCAAATATAAGGTCTAAGAATAAAAAGAGGCTTTAATGGGATTCAAACTTTGGTCTAGAGGGTGGTATCTCTAGCTTCTAGCAATTGCGCTAGGGTACTTCTATGCTTTTTATGAGTGCACTATTAAATATATCTTAATTTCTATCCGTTTTCAAAATAGATATACATATATACATATGATATTTTCGGAAGTTATGGTGTGAATCCGCCCCTGAATGGAGGGTTCGAATACTTTAATGACCAAAAAGTCAACACACTGATATATTAAAAAGAGAGTTGAATACACGCCCTGATACATTAAAAAGAGGGTCGAATACGTTAATGGAGCGTCAGATACATTAATGACATTTTTTACTTGTACTTAAGAGAAAAATAAGAAATTTTAAAAATTTATAAAACTTATAAGAATAATAATAATAAAAAAAAACTAAAATGTAAAATTTCTGTAATTATTCCTTTAATTATTTATTGTCACAGTTGTTACCAATGATAACAAAAAACAAAAGGAATTAGCTTTGTCATTTTAATTTTACAATCTAAGAAGATAAATGAATTCGTAGATAGGCATGTCTTAAAAAATGGGAGCAAATTTATTGATAATTGATTTTTTTAATTTCTTTATTTCGTCTCAAAAAATTACTACTTTTTTTTGTTTGTTTAATTTACGTGATCGAATTCAAAGTGTGAGATAAAATAATCAATTTGTGATGTGAATTAAGACGTATAATCTTTATATAGTTTTTCTAAAAAAAAATTAACATATTTAGAAATCACTTAAAAAGTATACTAAGTTATCATAATTAATAATCGAAGTATTAGAAACATATTTGAATATAAGAAAGCATTTTTGACTTTCCATATATAACTAGGTTTTCCCAATTTATTTAACAGCTTTGAAAACAAAATAGAAATTAATACAAAAATATTACTTCCTCCATCCCATTTTATGTGACATCATCTCTTTTTTTGGTCAGTCCCAAAAAGAATGTCACATTTCCTTATATAGTAAGTATTTAAAGATATAATTTCTCTTTTTCCCGGACCCACTTAATTTTCTAATACATTCATGAGGAGAGAGAAAAGTGAGTTACTTTTTTGAAAGACAATTTAGTAAACATTTCAAAGTCTTCATTATTTCTTAAACTCTGTGCCGAGTCAAATATTACCACATAAAAATAGAACGAAGGGAGCAATAGTTTCCTTGACGATAAAAAGATATTAGGAAACTTTTTTCTTTTACGTGTGGATCAATTTTGGACAACCCTATAAAATGTGATTTGATGCTAAAGACTACTCACAAATATATTTGTAAAATGTGATTTGATGCTAAAGACTACTCACAAATATATTTGTTAGAACAAACAAACATTGATCAAAGTAATTTTGCGTTTAGATTTAGAGAATATGTTTATGAATGAATTTTCAATAAAGAATATTATTGAATTTGCGATTGGTGTTGTTGAAGCCAATTATACAACACAGCGTAGAGAGATAGGATGTTAATGAATTGAGGGATATATAATTAAAGAAGCAATTGTTGAAGAAAAGAGTGTTGAGTGCTTTAAATTTCTGTTATTCACTACCTGCTCTAGGTTACTAATCTTATTACTCTCAATTTACTCTTTAGAGGTAATATTGCTCAATTTGCAAAGTGTACTTACTACTAAAGGAACTTGGAAAACTATACATACTGTATTGTTCAAAAGAAAATCAAACTACTGAGATGTACTTTATACACTACTTGAATAAAAGATGGATTCAGAACCTCAAAACTTCTATTTTATTGCTAAAATGTAGGTCAAAATTGCGAAGTAACAGCCAGCAGGGTTTCAACCTTGTTTATCAGAATACATTCCAAGATATCAGAGTAATTCTCCATCTTAATCTAAAGACACCCCAAACCAGAACCAAAACTTTAAGATATCACAATCTAGTTGGAGGAAGAAAATCATTTAACGAGCAATCCCCAACTTACTGTTATCGATATGGACATGTTTTGCATAATTACTGAATTTCACCAATACCTGCAACAAGAAAACAACTTATTATTTCTACTCTTTTAATAATTACCAAATGGCACTTTTTCTGAACTGGTTATTAGATTGTGCTACACTGGCAGAATTCATAAATGCCTCGGCTAGATGGGACTTCATGGCAGGGTCAGTCATAAGCCAGCTGAGTGCCAAATTAACTTTTCCATTTTCCTATGTCAGAAAGCTAAGGAGATATGGAAAGCGAAGAGAAAGTTATAGTATGGAGCGAGGGATAGGAGTAATAACCTGCAGCTCCCAGGTTTGAATCATAACCATAACACATGGTGTTACTCCATTCGCTCCAGTCCTGGCGATCAAGATTACCTTGGTGACTTGTGCTTGTTAGCTGGACAAGCTGCGTGAGGTAGATAAGTCAAGCTAATAAAGATAAGAACCGATGTTAAAGAAAAAGTACAAGAATGGAAGACGAGGGAAATAGGAGATTAAATAGTGGACTCCAAAATTAAAAAAATGACATCCATCTTTTGCCAAATCCCTTGAAACAAACAGAGGAAAATGTAAGTACATTTCCTTTCTTTCCTCTAGTCTCCAGACAAAGGGTTTGCTTTTCTTTTTGCCATGTAAAGCCTGATTCAGTTAGTAACGAATAACGCAATCATAAGTTGAAAGATACCTTCAAAAAGCATCGGAGTAGCCTTTCAACTCTCAATGAGAATATGCACTTGAACTCTTCCAGTGCGATAGATTGGTCCCCTCCAACAACTACAGACAAACTGTTCACCAAGCTACCTGCAAACTTGAAGTAGTAACCTATGGGAAACAGTGAAAATTGAAAGTGACATTTGTTTGATGTTCTACAAAAATTAGGTTCGCTAAGTCAGTTTGACTTTTTGGAGGAAGCGTTTATTTAATGACCTGTTTATACAAAATAATTTTGAAGATCTCCAAACTTAGTTTGTCAAATCTTTCAAAAACTCAGGAACTGCAAAAGCTAGTTTTGAGTTTATGGAAGATTGAAAAGTAAGTGTGAAAATCTTTTAGAAAAATTAACGCTTTCCTTTTTTATAAAAAGGTCCGAACCACAACAATTTTTTTCCAAAAATTTAAAAATGAGTCTGCAAACTCAAGTTACGAAAACTTCAAAAAGCCACCTAAATAGAGCAGGGACCTTGCAGCTTCATATCACATACAAGTGCAAATGATTAATACTTTTATGATTTATTACCTATTTTCATTTCTTCAACCTGCTAAAAGGGTACACCCCTTCGCTTTTAACTTCGATTCCAGACCGAAAAATTTCAACCCAGACAACAGCAGGTCTGCTGTCTTCTTCTTCATGTGGTCAATAAGCATCTCATCATAAACAATTAAGTCGGCTTCAGTAAGATGTTTTCGCTTTCTCATACTTGCAAAAACTTTCTGTGCTTCTTCAATTGTTCCATGTTTGCACATGCCATAAATTACAGCGCAATATACAGCATTATCAGGAGAATAGCCCTCTTCGAGCAATTCATCAAGAACTTTCATTACCTTCTCGGCATCATTCATTTTACAGACATGAATAATAGTGAGAATATACTTAAACTCCATAGGGCCACTCGCCACATTGCGTAGGCAGTCAAGAATTAGCAGCATAGCTGGATCGATCTGTCCTATTTTGCAAAGCCCTATGACAAGAGAACGATATGCAGCAACTGAGGGAATCAAAGACATCTCTTTAATTCTGTTATAGCAAATAGATGCCTCCTGTACATCTCCGACCTCTACAAAACACTGGACGGCATTGCTATAAGTTGATGAATCAGGTTTACAATCTGAACTTCTCAACTCAGAGAACAATGTGAGTGCCTTGTTCACCTCGCCATTCTGATAGAGCGCCTCCATAAGAATGTTATATATTGGAACACTACAATAATCTTTTACTTTCAAATATTCAAAGACTTCTAAAGCAATCATAATCCTATCATCCTTCTCTACCATATATGTGAAGAATTTGGATAAATCATCACTGATGCAATGGCTTAATCGCTGCAGTTCCTCAAGCAATTTGCAAATTTCATCCATTTTCTTTGACTCTGCATAAGACACCAATATGGGCTTCACAGTGGAAAAGTCAGGACAAAGATCTTCTTGAACTGTGATTTGGAAAAGTTTATAGGCCCTATCTGTTCGTTTTGCATTGCAGAGACCTTCAATAATAGAATTATAGATTGCCAAATCAGCCCTATAGCCCGAGTCTATCAGATCTTTAAGCAAATCACAAGCTAAACCAACTTTCCCGCTTGCTACAAACGATTCAATCAAGGATCCATAAATCCCCCTATCTATCAAAATTTTCTTTTGTTTCATTTCCTTGAACAACTCATAGCCTTTGTCGACCTGATTATTTTTACACAAACCAGCAATAAAAGTTGAATAAGCTATAACATCAGGTTCAACTGCATCCTGCTGCATCTCCTTCCAAACCTTTGAACAACCATCCAAGTTCCGCTCTGCAACCAATATCTTTACCATTGCTGTGTATGCAAACACATCTGGTTTGCAACGATTTTCTCTCATCCGACCCAAAAGCTCAAACACTTCATCCATTCGTCCAAACTTGCACAGGCCCTTTATCAAGATCATGAAAGTTATACTTTCCTCCACCAACCCATCCTTCTTGAAATCATCATAAACTGACATAGCCAAGTCCAAATGATTGGTTTTAACCAAAGCATCCATTATTCTGTTATACAAAAAAACTCTTGGTTTTACCCCAAATTTTTTCATTTTCTCATAAACATAGTATACTCTAAGACCCCTATTAGCATCACCATGCATTCTGATCAAAATTTCAAATTGTTTCTCACTAGGTGGCTTTCCTTGCATATGCATCAGCTCAGGAACCTGATCAGCTGTTCGAAATTGATTCGCCCGATTCAGACCATAAGCAAAGGCATTGTAACAAGAGAAATCATGCCTGTAACCTTTCTGTTTTCCTGTTAAGATACATTATAAGAATAAGAAGACACACACGTACAAGCACAACACTGATCTCATCATCGATTTGTCTATTCATTTTTTTCTTGTGAACAAAACAATAACAAAATGCAGAGCTTTGAACTTCATCTTTTGTATATAGACAAATTTAAGGCGCAACACTCTTGCCAAAAGATCAAAACCATGACAATTGTACTGTCTGATTGCCTCAAAATCACACAATTGCATCTAATACTCTCCCGTCCAGTAAAATTCCATGACAATTGTGGTATTTGACTGCCTCAAGATCACACTATTGCATCTATAGACTCTCCCTGTCCCTTAAAAATTCGACTTTTCAATTTTTTGTGCTAGCTTGACTCATTTTAGACTACGACAACAACAAACCCAGTGAAATCCCAAAAAGCGAGGTCTGGGAGGTTAAAGTATACACGGGCCTTACCACTAACTCTCTTCCACCCATTTTTAGACTAAAAATTAGCATTACAAGTTACAACATTCCCATTTCAAAGTGAAAAAGATAACACATTCAACAATCTTGGAAATCATATAAAGTTCCCAGCGAAGGAGAAAAGAATGACACAAATAACAAATTCCCAAAAAAGTAAAAAGGGTGAATTTTGAATATACCAGCCCAATAGAAGAACTTGGATGAAATTTTGGGATCAAGATTGGGGTGTTTGAGAACCTCAGTTACAAGCTTAGGAGTAACCCTTCGTAGAGTATTAAGGTCAGCCAAAAGGGGTGCACCCCATTTCCCATGTTTCCTGAATGAATCCACTATATACCTAGCAATTGGTGATAGGCGCTGAGCTAAAGAGAAGAATTCCTGAGATGGGTCTCTGGATTTTTGACCCGAAACTTCATCTGGGTCCCATTTTTGAAGCTGAAAATCACCTTGGGTAACAGGGGAAGGTGAGTTTTTGGTGGTGAGGTTTGGGTTTATGGTTTGACGATTGGAAAAAAGGCCTCCTTGAACTGTAGGACGATGCTGAGTAGGTTTCCGGTGGCCGTAGAAGAAGTATGGTTTGCTTTGTGCGGATTTGGCCGCCATTTTTGAGTTTGTCCTTCTTCAGCAACTGAAATCGGCTGTGTGCTTGTATGAACTATTTGCAGAAACTCTTTTGCACTTTTTTTTTTTTTTATCAAAAAAAATTTCTTTAATGTTATGATCGCATTTCGATTTAATTGTAATCCGTAGTAAACAATTATCACTGGTCTTTCTCCCTAGCGAATCTCGATTTCTAATTGCTACTCTCCCTAGCCTTTCTCATTTTATATTAATACAAATATATAAATCGTGTTTCTATTTATATAAAGCAAGAAAAAAATATATATATAAATACAAATACATATATTTTCGTCCAATACACTTTATACTATCAGTTCACTTTTGTCTTTCTTTTTTTCTCGCTTTATACAAACACAAATTATATAAATTATAATGTGTAGTTTGTGTTGTATAAAGATAGAGATTTGATATATAAATATTTTATTTCGATTCAATTGTATACAAAAATTTAAATTTTAACACACAAAATTGAATAAAGAGACTGACAACGATTTATACAAATGAGAGACTGCCAATGATTTATATAAATGAGAGGCTTTCGATGATTTATACAAACTATAACTATAATTTTATAACATATAAATATAATTTTATGTTTATCTAGAATTTACTAATTTATTTATCATTAGCACATTATTTAAATTTACTGAGAGGAAAAAAAACTTCATAATAGTTACAAATTAATAATGAGTCAATTTTCTAAATGGTCATCCAAGTTAAGAGAATTGTCTTGAAATATCATTTATGTTTCATTTAGGACCAAAATATCACTCAACTATTACTATTTTTCTCCAAATATACTTGACACTTCAAAATCATCACTCTCTTCTAATTTGGCATGACATTTCATTAGGAAATCTTTTTTTAATAATAGACTAAGTTAACTCATTGAACCCATTTAACTAAAATGATGCTCATATTATTTTTAATTTTTTTTATTAGTTTATTAAGAATAAATTTTCATACTTAAATCTTTTATCATAATTAAAATTTTTTTTTTTTTATGTTATGAAGAATACATTTTAAAAATGCACTATAATTTTATCAATTTTGGATACTTACAGACACATACATTTAAAAAAGAATTGATATACGAATCACTCATCAATGCTAATTTACGTCAATTAATCATAAGTTGTATAATTAATCAATAATATTAAAAGTCAATTAACTATCATAATAATACTAATTGTGTATTTTGCAATTCATTATACAATTTATAATTAATTAAAGTAAATTAGCGTTCTTGAGTGATTTGTATATCAATATTTTTTGGATTGTATGTGTTTATAAGTTTCAAAATTGATGAGATTATGGTATATTTTATAAGGTATTATGCGATAACATAAAAAAATAAAAATTTAATTATGGTAAAAGATTTTAAGTATGAAAATTTATTCTTAATAAATTAATAAAAAAATTAAAAATAATATGATCATTATTTTTAGTTAAATAAATTAAATTTATCTATTATTAAAAAAGACTTTAATGACATGTCATGTCAACCAGGAGATAGTGATTCTTTTGAAGTGTCGAGTATATTTTGATAAAAATAGTGATAGATGAATTTTGATCCTAAACAAAATATAAATAATATTTTAAGACAATTCCATTTAACTTGGGTGGTCATTTAGGAAATTGACTCAATTAATAATCTTCTTTACATTTGTGTCGTTAGTTTGCCAAAAAAATTAGAGCTACTTTGAAGTGGGTTCCACCTTTTGAAAATTTATAACGAATAAAACAGCAAGTAGAGACCAAATTTTCCCTTTTGGTTTCTCCTGTGAATTTCATATTCAACCGAATTTAAATTTTAATTTATATCGAAAAGTTTCATATGATAGATAAATAGCTCTTCAATAATAAGAAAATTTTGTATTCAAAAAAATTTAAATTCAAAATTTCTGATTAAAAATTAAAGAGTATTTATTACTCTTTTACAAAGATAAAAAAAATATTTACCACTCTACCACATTTTTTATCAATAAGTAGCACCAAATTAAATATTAAATAATAATTAAATATATCAGTGAGGTACATACACATTTCATTTAAAAGACTTCAACCATGTTTTTCGTAATTAAAATTCTCTATTTCAAATTTGAAATAACAGATCAAACTATAAAGCAAATATTTATATATATGATAACACTTGATTTGGACGTTGATTTGCACCATACTTCGATAAAAAAAAATTACTATAGTAAACAAATTCGTGAAAACATCGTATCGAAGTAACAAATTTGAGTACATAATACTAATATTTTTTAGCATTTTCATCAGGATTTAAACCATAATCACCCCACTCGTTCATCGTTAACTATTAGTCCGCACCCTTAAATCGTATTTATTAGGATTAAGATATGCATCAACGCTAACTGATTTTCAGGGGTAAGAAGAAGGCAGGTATATCTCAAGGTGCTTGATGTGACCATTGCTCCAGACCAAACCCTTTTAGCACAGCGTAAATAGATCTGATAGATGGATTGTCTCATCTCATCTGTTCTAGCTTTGGTGGTAACTGTCGTGGTCACTAGCGTCACCTGGTGATAGGAATGCAAGCTGACCCAAACACCACAGTTTTCAACCAAAAAAAAAAAATGAGGACCGCCTAAGTAGTGATACCACCCATCACCATTCAGGTTGAACTTCTTTGAAATGAGTTCAAAGGGATTCACCAGGACCATGGCATCCACTCTTTGACCTGCCAATATGCATCTAAAATGACAGTTACAAGGCATACAAGTCACAGCAAGGCTAAAAGTACAAAATCCCTCGATGCATATTATACCTGTGGCCAATTCCCAGAGGGGAAAAGGGTGAAGTTATATAAAGATTTACAAGCTTACACCGAGATATCAAAGCCACTTACAGCAAAGGTACATGGGCTTTAGCAACATGCAATTTATCATCATCTATCATACCTACTACCAACTATCCATCCAGCAGGATATTTTCTCTTTAACCAAAAATAAATAAATGGGAACAGAAATGAGCTTTTTTATGTTACACATTTCCGCTCAATGCCATAACATTTCTCCTATTCCACTGCCCTTACCTGTCTACCATCCCTCTGCAAGATCATGGTTGCAACTGCTCCACCACCATTGGACTTGGTAAAACCCAATGATGTTACATAACATACAAAAAGATCCAGAAGTTGGTCAACTTTTCATTGAAAAGATAACTTAAGAAGCTCGTTAACTTTTTCATTGAAACGCCACCTTAAGAAGTTGATCAACTAGTCATACATGCTGTTAAAAGTAACCCTCTTCTGTGTGTTTTCTTCTCTCCAATTGTTCGCAGTCCTCTGTTCATCACTTTGAAACCTTGAGCTTTTGTACCTCGGCACATGTTGTGAAGAACTTTCCCTCTTGCGCGAACCAGAATAAAAGGTACTATTACCTCTACTAGGTCTTCCAAAATCCACATTTCTGTCGTTACTCTGCCTTGGTTGTTGCTGATAATCCCAAGAAGTGCCCTCAGATCCTCTCCGTCTTCTGTCCTTTGAGGTTGTTCCACCACCTCGACTAAAATTCCTGTTCCAGCGAGAGCCATAGTCTGAATTCCGCTGCTCATGCCCTCCAGTATTCCAACAGGTTTGACCCCAGGAACCAACGCTATTATCAACCCATTCGTTTCCTTTAGCACCAGAAACACATGCACCACTTCGATACCACAAATTGCTGAAACTGTTATCAACACAAGCATATCCATTCTGATAATTCATCCCACTGTTCCAACCCCACGACTCATTTCCACAGCCTCCCCAGGCAGTACCCTTCAAGATGCCCTGGGTTTTTGGGGAACTCCTTTCCCACGGATTATCATTTTTGATGTTTACAGGGGTATACCATTCATTCCAAGTCTGCTTCGTATCCTCAATAGAAGCACTTTCCCAAGGATTTTCACGATTGCCAACAGGCTTTGAGTCCTGCACATTGCCACTTTCCCAAGGATTTTCACCATTAGCAGCAGTTTTAGAGCCCTGCACATTACCACTTCCCCAAGGGTTTTCACCATTATCAGCAGTTTTATCCTCCCATACCAGGGTGCATCCAGGATCTAAGTTGTTCTCAGACTTGACAGAGTTCTTAACTTCATTAGGGTTGAAATATTCTCTGTCCAAATCTAATATCAGCTCCGGATCGATAGCTGAGTCCCAATCAACTTTATCAATGTACAAATCTGGATTGGGAGGAGGATTCTGAGGGGGAAAACCAGAAATCTTCGCCCAATATCTCCTTTTTGCAACGTTGAATGCTTCTTGACCTGCAGAGTCATCCCACTTAACCACATTTTCATAACAGTCCATATATGTTTTTGCACTCACAACCTTGTGCCAGGGAATCCCGGCTACTCTGCAGAAATCTATCTCCCATAATGGGGCACTGTTTTCCTGGATAGCTTTAAAAGGCCAAAAAGAAGAAGTTATCAGATTCTGTAGATAATACACGACTTAATAGCATATATTTTATGTGAAATAGACTTCTAATTTAATTTTAAAAGAAAGAAGAAGAAGAAGAAGCTGAAGGAAACATATGAAGAGATGTATTTTATTAAAATGACAACTTCCACAACAATCAGAATTCCAAGCATGTCTATCAAGATCTTTACATACACACACACATGTATATGAGTGTGCATAACTTTTTAAAGCACAGAATCTAGACACACAAATTTCAGAGGAATATTGGAGCTGGGTCAGCTGGCTTCAACACTTACAACCTTCTACCAACTCCACTTAAATACCAGACTTGGTTCACGAGTTAGGATTTGAGTCGTGACTTGTGCCAACCACAATCTCGAGCCCTACTGCCTTTTGCCCTGAACTAAATCCTCTGAGGCAGGAAATTCGCTATTCAATGCTTGTTATTTTCCAAGTCAAAACAATGACAGACTGAAACACGAACCAATTTCCTTATAGAGAAGGTATACATGTCTCCCTATTTACAGATTCAGCTATTTCCCCTTTCGACATTTCTACTTTATATTATTCCCAGACAAGCAACTCACATGCTTTTTAAATATCTACCTTCCTAAAATAATTGCAGTCCGAAAAGTGATCATGACAGACTTTGAAGCAATAACAGTCTCAAAAGATAAGAATGACAATCAAACATTTCTAGAAGCTGAT